AAAGGGAGGGACAGGATTAGGTAATGTTTGAGTTGTTAATTAGGTAACTGAATGAAGGCAGGAGGCTTTTGTAACTCAGGCCTGCACAATTTAGAGAAAATATTCTCTTGTGCATCCAGCACACTGAAATAAAATAAAAGAATGCTTTGCTCCTTAAAACTCAAAAAAAAGTCTTAGTTTCTTTGTACATAGTTTTAAGTCAACAGAAGAACCAGAAGGAGGCATTAAGGGTTGCTTCCTTGATACTGACAGCTCTGCTGTAGGGAACAGGCCTGTCTGCTGACCTGTTGTCTGGGAGACTTTGCTGCTTTTGAGAGTCTGTGATTTGTGATACCGTGAAATGCTTGCAAAGACACCTCGGGCTATCTCATTATTGATCCCCACCGCTTTTTCATGTAATCATCAAATGCTCTCCAATTACTGGAGAAATCTGCATAGCATCAAGTATGACACCGCTCTGGAGTGATGGTCAAGGGCTTAAGGACCTATCTAGTGTGTCCCTAGTCCTGCTGGTCAACTGGTGCAGTTTTAGTTCCTATGAACATGGCATGCTCTTTGATGAGTGTGTGTCACTTGGAAGAGCTGGGATACATTGGACTAAGATGGGAGAGCATCTTTGCCAACAGGATTGTCAGTCTGGTAGGAAGAGCTTTAAACTGAGAATGATGTGGAAAGAAAGGATGACAATCAAATGAAGAAGTTTTGGACGAGGTTATCAAGCAGAAGATGAGGGCTTGTGCAAACAGAGGGGACTTTATCATCAACTTGGGTGTCATCAAAGTACATGCATATAAGCACAAGCTTCAGAAAGGACTTTTTGTTTTTTAAACTCTTCAAGGAGGAGTCTAGGTGTGCCTGGATCTATTCCAACCCCAAATGTGATAAGTGTAATTGATTCTATATGCAACTTCATCCTGCAGGATTAAATATGGCAAATGAAATACGTTAGCATGAATACAATGTGTTTTAATTGTAGTGATGCCAGTGATTATTAAGAAGGAAAATATCACAAGCAGAATTCTCTACTACACAATATAGATAGAACTCATTACAGCGCACTACTTATGAAAACAGTAGTTTTAAAGCTGTCTTAAGAATTATCAAGTAGATTGATGTTACTCACCCATAGTGATGACTGTGGGCAAATATGTTTGCTCATACTCAGAGTTACCTTGAAGGGTATCCCTCCTCAAGGGAGCAATCTCCACACATACTCCTAGAAGTCCTCCCTGCTGGAAAATGGGACCATGCTTTTATAGTACAAAGTCACTTGTAAGTCATGTGTTGCTAGGCTAGCCATGGTCATGCCAACTCAAGAGAACATGCTTTATTTTTAAATAAGATATTGTCACTTGTTTGTTTTTCTCATTCTGTAAACATCTGTCTTTCACATCCTTGTCTGTGGCAGTCTTTGTCAGGAATCATCTGTCTTTCATATCCCTGTGATGGGATTAATTTAGGATTGCTGGTAAGGCTGGTCTCAGCATTCTTCACCACTAAAAAGAGTGATTTTATTGGAAGTGAACTCCACTGAAATGGACTTCAGGATCTTGAAAGGAGGGAAGAAGATGAAAGCAGGACCATTGTCATGGCCTTCAAGAGGCCAGACTTCAGCCTGTTCAAGGATCTACTTGTGTGAATCCACTAAATATGATCCTGAAAAGAAGACAGATCCAGAAGAGCTGGCTGGTTTTTGGGTTTTCTGGGTTTTTTTACCCCACAAAGAATCACTTTCTACAAGCTCAAGAATGGTCCATTCTGGTGTGCAGGAGAACCTGTAAAGATGGCAGGAGGGCTTGCACGGATGTGCAAGGAGAGGCTGACTGAACTCAAGCATGGAAAGGAAGTATACAGGAGGTGGACACAAGCACAGGTGACCCAAAAGGAATAGGGCCACTGTGCAAGGATGGGGGTTAGGAAAGCCAAATCCATCTGGAGTTGAATCTGGTAAAGAGATGTGAAAAACAAGCAATGTTTCTACAATAGGAAATGTGGGCCCACTCCTGAATGGGACTGGGACATGGTGAAAAAGAATGCTGCAGTGGGCCAACACAGAAGGTATTGTAAAGAAGAGGCTGATTTCAAGAGATCTTAGGCAGAATTTAACTAGGTTTTGATTGTAGAGTTGTGTGTTTTAGCATGAGGAACTGCTGAACTTGAGTATACAATGTGTTGCCACTAACAATGCAATCTGTGTGTACTCTTTGTAATGTAAGGGCTTGTTCCCACGGGAATGTGTAAAAGTGTAACGCTTCCAGCAAACCTCAGTGTACCCTCTAGAACATTTAGTATTGTACAATAAGAGACTGATGGATTTGTTTTACTTGAATGAATACTGTCAAGATGTGATTAACAATGAGGCTACTGAACCTCCCCACAAAGAATTCTGCACAGCAGTGGCTCTACCAGAGAGAACTGTCCAGGTCTGCATCCTTGCATGTTTCCCAGCATTGGAAGAGACGTGTAAGACTTTCCACTGCAACTTTTAGAAACACCTTTTTCTCTTAAGCATCTTATGGTTTTGGTTTTGGTTTTTTTTTTTTTTTTGAGATACAGCAGAACCAGAACTTCACAATACTAAGCAGACATAGAAAGGTTGAGGTCCTAAATGACTTATTTGCCTTGTCAGTCTACATAGAACAGTTTGGAGTGAAAGGAACCTTTAAAGGTCATCTAGTTCAAATTCCCTGCAAAAAACAGGGATATGTTCAACTAGGTCAGGTTGCTATTGAAACCGAACAAGTTTCTATCCAGCCCAGTATGGGACTGGATAACTGTATAGTGAGGTAGATTGGAAACAGCCTCAGCTTCCGAGTTCAAAGGATCAGCAGCACAAAGACAAGCTGGAGACCAGCCCCTTGTGGTCAATACTAAGGTTATACCACTGAACATCTTCATTATATGACATGGGGCAAAGTGCATTCCCAGAAGTTTACAAATAATTCAAAACTGGGAATAGTGGTTGATGTACCTCATGTCCCTTTGCACACAGAGATCTGACAGGTTGGGGAAATCAGCAGATAGGAACCTAAGGATGTTCAGCCAGCTGCTCTCCTGCACCTGGGGAGGAATAACCCCATATACCAGCACAAGCTGGAGTCCTGACTCTGTGGAGAGTCCACGTTCGAGTAGCTCCTGAGTCACTGTTTATAGCCTGGTGTTTGTCAGTACAGCTTCTCACCATATTAAGGCTGATGTGACTGAAGTCATTTTTGCAGCTGCCTGCAGTCAAACCAGTGTAAGAGCAGCACGTGTCTGCCCCCTGGAATAGCCTGATGCCAGTTGGAGGTACAGCCTGTGTTTGTGCTTCCTTGCCCTTAAGGGTGGCTTGTCACGTGGATGTGAAGTTTGGTGGTTCATGAGCTGCTTCAGAAGTAATTCCTGAGTTAAACAGCTAAAGGCTGTCAGTGGGCTAATAATTATTTCCAGCCCAGAAGCTGATGAATGTACTCTTAGCACTGCCAAACTTGCTGATGGGAGAATGTGGTAAACTGAATCTTGTGGAAAAAATAGAAAGAGAATTAGTTGCTAATTAGCTAGGGGTGTGTACTGTTTAAATTTGTCACACAAGCATACAGAATTTGTCAGTACCATACAGTTTGCTGCAGCTTTATTGTGCCTCCTGACCCAAGGAAAGGGATCTCCAGGGATGCCTGTCAGCAGTCCCCACTCAACCCAGCACCACCATCGTAGAGGTTTCTGCCTTCCTGGTGCTAAAATGCTGCTCAAGGGAGCTTGGCTTTCTCCTGCATTTTTTTAGGGACAAAGACTTCTCCATGGTGGCTAAGGCCAGCCTGCTCCTTTAGTATTTCTGATGCTCAGGCTGCTCGGTGGCATCTTGCTTGTGCTGTCAAGAGGAAAGCCAAAATAAAGCTCACTCTAATGGCTTTGTGAGCCTCCTGTGCTTGCTACAAAATTTACAATTGGCCCATGATGACTGAATAGCATATTTCATTGTGTGCATGGGATGTCCCAGCCAAACTGGGCACATAGAAGCGATTTTTCTTTAGGGGGTTTTATAGCTTACACTTATAAGGGTATGATATGAATCATCCAATTACCTACTACTGTGTATTTCTAATTATCCAATGACAAAGTATATGTTCTTGCAGCATCATCATCCGTTGCATCCTTGTGGTTTATCTGTCAATCCAGACATTTTGGTTGTTGACTTCAACAAAGTTATCAGGCATCAGCAGCAACCTGTGTTTCTCTTAAATATGGATCCTTCAGTTAATTTCGTGAGAACAGAGGTTTAGTTTTCTTAGTCTATCGCTTGTTCTTTTTAGTAGGGAGTAGGGGAGGGGTCTTGGGTCTGAGGATAGCGACAAAGTACTAATAATGCTGCCGACTTCTGAGAGCTGTGTGGTCTCAATTTATGCCACACCATCCAAGCAGAAACGTAAAAAAGAAAAAACCAAAATAAAAACAAAACAAACAAAAACAAACAAACAAAAACATCATAAAAGAGAGAGCTAGGATACAAATGAGCTACAGGTAGCAGGCACTCCTGCCGGTTCCCGTCCGGCCGAGGCCGAGCAGGACTACATCTCCCGTCATGCCACCTCACGGCGGGCGCCGCCGCCATCTCGGCACCGGCCCCGTTGGGTCGGGGCGGTGTCCCCGCCGCATTCCCCGCTCCCGGCGGCATTCCTCGGTCCCGGCCGCATTCCTCGGTCCCGGCCATGAGCCGCCTCAGCGGCGGCTGGGACGGCGCCGGCGAGGAAGTCCGGCTGCTCCTGGACCTGTGAGTGCCGCCCCGACACCCTCCCGCCGCGCCCGCCTCGGGAGGAGGGCTGGGACAGGAGCGCAGGGAGGGGACAGGGTTTGACAGGCCTTTGGCGGCGGAGACGGCGAGTGTTGGTGGTGGCAGGGTTTGCAGAGTTCAGGAGCTGCGGGAGAGGTGACAGGGTTTGTCAGAGGTGACGAGGTTTGACGAGCTGGCAGGGTAGGTGATAGGGTTTGTCCGAGGTGACAGGGTTTGTCAGAGGTCAGCAGGAGCTACAGGAGAGGTGACAGGGTTTAGCAGAGGTGACAGGGTAAGTGAATGGGTTTGGCAGAGGTGAAAGGGTTTGGCAGAGGTGAGCGGGAGCTACAGGAGAGGTGACAGGGTTTGGCAGAGTTCAGGAGCCGCAGGAGAAGTGGCAAGGCTTGACAGATGTGACAGGGTTTGGGGTGGCAGGGTAGGTGACAGGGTTTGGCAGAAGTGACCATTTGTGAGGAGTTACAGGACAAGTGACAGGGTTTGACAGGACCTGCAGGGCTTGGTGGGGGTGATGAGATTTGGCAGGTAGGTACCAATGTGCTCCCTGACAGATCTGGATGTGGGGAGATGGTTGAGGATCCCTGGCTTTGCCTGGCCCCAGTGAGTGGTGTTTTGCTTTGAGGTTTTTCTTTATGTCAAATTCCTTTGTGTTTAGGAGGGATCTAGAGACAGCGTAGGGATAAAATATTTCATTTGACAGATAAAAGAAAAATAGTTGTCAAAGAGTACAGTTAGTCTAAGATTTTTATTCTTAAAAGCACTGAAGATAAGATTATAGTTGCCCGGGTGTGTAGACAGTAAATATTTTATAGTTTCCTATAAAGTAGAATAACAGTGAAAACATAATTTAAATGATTTGTTTAAACTGCAGATCAGTAATGTACTCTGGGAATATCAACCAGCTCTTTGAAAAGAATGTGATTTATCTTAATAATCTTTTCATTCAAGCTGAATTTAATATTCTGTGGCAAGAGACAGTTAAACGTAACAGGAAAACTTACCATCACTCACATCAATTTCCATGTATCTGCACTGGTTTTGGAGTATTTTCTGCTAATTTGAACTAAGTAGTTGGTCTAAATTTATAGGCCTCTTTTCAAACATGGCTGCATTAGCCATTTAATGTCTTTAAAAGAAAAAAATTAATCTGAAGCTTACATTAAGTTTTTAGAGATAACATCTGTTTTAATGTGCTACAATATATGATGACAGTCTGCTTCCTTCAGGATGAATTGCCAGAAAACTTAATTTATCCAGTGGCCAAAATATAGGTGTCATGTGATAAATATGTATTTAGCACATAAATGAAGTGTGTGCCCTTGTGTGACAGAAGACTTCTGCCCATTCACATGACTCAATAGGCATCCATCGCAGAAGAGGGAACACTCACATGGTGGGTGTACATGTAGCCCCCCCAAAAGTCTCAAAGTCTGTTGCACTCACCCTAGCCAAAGGCAGGATGCTGTTTTGCACCGAGGAGGTGCCGGTTCATTTGGGATCTCAGTAGGAAAGGCATGGGTTCTCAAGGCTTGTTGACTGGTTTATTGCATGAGGAATAGTAGCACTGGTAAAGGTGACAGCAGTCATATGTCCTTTCTGATGCTGAGGCCCCCAGCTGTTACAGTGTGAGACAACCCCTTCCCAGTGATCAGCACGTCTCACAGATCCTGCTTATGGGGAGGTTCACTTTTGTGGTCTTTAGAGCCTTGATAAGATTTGTTTTTCTTAGAAGTAAACAACTATTCTTCATTTCTGCAGTGAAGTTAAGGAATGCTGCATATCGATTACCTGGCTAATCTCAAAACAGAGAATGTGGATGGTGTAATCTACATATACTGAATCAGAGCCAAGTACAGGTTTCTCTGTTGGTCAGGGAGCCAAGTTCATCCAGCAGTCACTGAGGTTCCAGGAAGGCATTGCATTCTTGCACACACAGGAGTGAGTTAAAGGCGGCCCTGGTGCATTCTTAGGTTTAGAATGTTGCTCCTGTTGACATACAGGTCTCTGCAGTCCAGGCCTGGGTTAAACTTTGCCCAAATTCTGTTTGAAATCATGTGCTCCTCAAGTGTCTTCTACAGTGACCTGCTAGAGATGCCCTTAATACACTTTGCTGACTTTAGTGGGTCTTTTTTATGTGCTTCCACATTGGAAATCTTTCTTCCTTCCTTGTTTAAATTTGTGCTGTGCTTCAGATTACAGAGCCTTAATATTTTGACCTCTCTAGAGTTATTGATTGGTATGAGTTTAATGTGCTGTGATTTGGTGGCATTCTGATGCCAAATAAGTTTTTGTTGCAAAACCAATTGTCTATAGGGACTCCAGAGCTGTGGTTTGATGCTAAATCAAATTTGGTGTAACTCTAGGTTGTTGCTGCCCCCTGCACTAGTTACTTGTCCTGGCAGTGTTGTTTCTGTGTCCTCACAGTTTTGGTCAAAGAGTTTTTTGCATTCAGATCAGATGCTGAACAGCTCACACTGCAGCTGAGAGTTTCAGGGACAGCATGAGGAAGACACAGTAAAAAGTGGTTGGGGAGTCAAGTGGGATATGGAAAAATAGCCTTTGCAACCTCTGGACTTTACATTTGCTTACAGTGATGTGTAGTGACCACATTAATGATATTTAAGACAATGTATTATGCTACATGCTTAACCTCAGGTCTTAAACCCAGTAACTTCTCTTCACCTGTACTGTAGTGCTTGATACCATAAACAATTTCTATTTTTGATTGGTTACTGATCTTTTTTGCACTACTTTATTAATACTGCTGCAGTATATTGTAATGTAATTATAATATAATTATTAGTCCATATGACTACTACTCAAAACTAGTAATTACACAGCTTCTTAACAAATGTGTGTAATTTAGTGCATTGTTTCTTGTCTTAATGCTAGTCAGGTCAGGTGATGGCCATCTGTTGATGCCAGACTGCACCTTAAGCTTCTTACTTAAGCTAGCCCTTAGGCTTATTGTTTAACTAGCAGAACTTACAAGAGAAACTAAACCCAAACCCAAATCTATTAATGTGTGGAGTAGTCCTTTTAATAAGGTCATTATTTTTAAGATCTCCAAACAAAGTGCATTTATTAAGGTGTATCTGCTGCTTGTCTGGCACTTGGTGGCCTTTGCCCCCTGCCCTAAAAGAGTAATTAACACTCCAACAAGAGCATCATATTGAAAATACTTAGAAACATTTTTTTCCAAGCTATATCTTATATTAGCTTCTCTTTCCTGAAGTTACTGCTCCCAAGATGAGAAATCATTGGCTTAGACGGAGTCCTAGCTGATGCAGTTTTAAGGCCAGCCTATGTCAAATCTGTAGTTGGTTTACATAATTCTACTTGGCTGAAAACTGACAGTGTAGGAATTGCAGGGTCTGACAAATAGTGGGTGCCTGGCAGCAACATCTCTCGCTGGAGAGGTGGAGAGGGCAGCTGGGGCAGATAAACAGCTTTAACTGCCATACTCTTGGGAGGCTGGTGTTACAAATCTCTCCATCCTGGCGTGTGTTTTAAGATGATTTCTCCATGCCCAGACATGAGATCAGAACAAAGGGAGTTTCTACCGTCAAACGTCAGACTCTTAACACAAATAAAAGATCAGATTTAAAGGTGTTTTAATTGGTTACTCCATGATGAAGAAAGCATGTAAATCATCCCAAGAGTGTGTATTTAGGTATTGCTTGGGATTGCTTCATGTGTCATTGATATATAGCTCTTGTTTAACAGAGGGTCAGCCTATTGCAGACTAATGTGTTAGTGACTAACCTGTCAGTGTCTTGGAAAAGGAATATCCTGCAAAGGCATCAGAACATTTGGAGACAGGTATAAAAAAACTGAGAACAGAGGTAGAATAGCAACTTCAAAACAGCTTCCTTTTGTGGTCTTTCTATGAATATAAATTATCTATTCCTAAGGAATGCAGGAAGATGTATCCATGTTGTTATTTACCATTAAACCAGTTTAGTATCTGTTCTTTTGGTTCATTTATTCCTGTGTGTCCCACTCCTAACATCTGTTCTGCTATTCTGTGTTGTGTGAAATAATATAAGCTGCACCTTGATGTAAGCTAGGCTATTTGTAGAATTATTTTTAATAAGGATCTAATTTCTGTTTTATGTATTTGAAATTGATGCCGAGAACCTCGGGGTAGAAGAACTGCTTGGAGACTTTGCATCTTTAAGCAGCAAGGTATTTGGTTTATTGCCAACGTTTGGAGCAAGGCAGTTCGCACTGCAGAAACTTGCTGGACTCAAAAGTGCAAAACAATCCATTTTATACATTTTAGATACACAGTTACACCTTCTACCTTGCATATTACTAGCTAGGCGGAGTCCAGGTGGAGCTTTCAAGAATCTTATTTTGGTTCAAATTTTTGGTGGTGTTCTCCTCGTGCTTTGATCTCCTGGTCGTTGTATACAAGAGTCATCAGCTGAACTTTTCAACTTTCTTTGTTAGGTGACCTAGATTCTTCGAGCTTGCAAAATCCTGGCTCTGGGCCTCCTATATCTACTTTAAACTACTTCGAAAAGATTTATTACCTGGTGGTCTATTATATACTACTCCTTATCATTCTTTCTATAATGAGGCTTTGGTCCAGTAAGCAGGACAGAACAAGACATTAACCAGTGTTCCTACAGTGTTCTTTTAGCAAATCAGACAGAACAAACATTAGGTAATACCTTCTCCTGGCTCAGCAGGGCAAGGTGTTTTACCAACTAAGCCATCGTTACCTCCTTTTGTGCTTTTCTCTGCCATCAAAATATAAATATTTGTCCTGTCATAAGGCCTTAAGGTTAAAGATCATATGCCTTTTTCTGTTCTGCACCTCTAGACACATTTGGAACAAATAAATGTGTCATTTGACACTTGATAGACAACTCTGAACTATAAACATCCTGTGTAGCAAGTCTGATAATGTGGAGCAGGGAAAAAGCAGCTATGGGGTTTGCTAGAAGGAATGGTCTTTTATCAGGCCACTGCAGGAGTAAAACACTACTCAGTTTTCCCTGTCCCTGAAAAACAGGAATCATGACTTCTTTCATTAAGTTAGACTAGGTCAAAGTGTGTGTCTGCCAGGTGATTGCATTACAGGCTTTACTTACCAGTCTTAGTTATTGCTTGTGTATCCAGATCCCATTAAGTCTGGATGCCAACTACAGTGGAGAGAAATACTGTGCAGTTTTAATTGCTGGACTGAGTTTACTTGTCGAGGAATTTAGTGGAAAAATGTTGATTCTACAAAAGCAAAATTTTTTGTAGGACGGTAATGTTTTCTTTCAACACTTTGGATGGGATTTAAAAAGAAAAGTTGGCCTAGGGAATGTAATTCAGGTAGCTATGATCAACAGATAATAGAACCTCCAAATCAAAGCATTCCATTGTTTCTGTGGACTCAGGTGTCTAAGCATGAGGGGACAATGGGGAGTTACTCTTCCTCCCCCATTTCAACTCCCTCCATTTCAGTTTTGCTGTATGGTAATGCTTTTTAAACTTTTGGCATTTCCTAGACAACAAATGTTACCCGTTACCTTTTTGGTTTTCTCTGGATGTTGATTAGCTTTACTCTAGTTTATGTTCCTCTTTTACCTAGGAACTTCGGATTGGTGATTGCTCTGAAGGTCAGTATGCTCAGGGTGCTTAGAAGCTATTCCTGAACTCTTCCCGGACTTGCCTCTGGTGTTTCAATAAGCCTGTGACTGTAATTTAAAGTTGCAGGTTGGAACATTAATATTTTATGTATTCTAAGATACATTACAGTGCTTTAGGAATCTTAAAAAAACAGGGTTGCATGATTAATGTCCCTCTCTTATACTCTGTATTGCAAAAGTGAATATTCTTCTGTATATTTGACCCAAAAAAGCATGATTTCAGGTGTTCCAGCTGGGCACTATTCCGCATATAAGTGGATAATATTGATCTTTGTTTTATTTTGCTTAAGTGAAGTTTTTAATGTTTTTTTCCCAAAAAGCTCTGTTCCATTTAGAGTCTTGTAACATATTCTGAGTGAAATGATCCCTTTTTCTTGTATTCACACAGCTGGAATTCTAGGATTTCAAATCCTGTCTTAAAGCATCGCTCAGCATTCTGTGATTCTCGTAGGCCTATTAATATTTATTTCTGCTTAGTCCTTCCTTTTTTGGATGAATACTTAATACCTTTGTGGTTTTGAGTTTTGTTTTGTAATTTCTCCTGCATCAGTATCTCGTGATGGAAACTTTGTGTAAGTTGTGTTTCAGTATTTGGCCAAGGGAAGAGATTGCTCGGAATAGGGAAGCAATTGTGCCCTAATACAAAAGCTGCCCAGAGGGCAGGTGTTTATGATGTGTAGAAAATGCAGTATGTGTTGGCATTATTGCTAGTTGAAAATCTCTATCCTGGTGTGTGTAATAATCAGGTTGTTTCCTTTGTGTTGATAAATCATTCTGATGAATAAATACATGGGGTGGGAGGAGGCCTAAAATACTGCTATTAAAGGAAAAGGAATTGGCTATACTGATTTAAACTAATCGGTGTTTCTGAGTGTGAGAGGATTTCAATAAGCTGTGTGAGAACTTCCTTCTAATCCTAGGGCAGCTTAATTTCTTGAAGAGCCATTGCTGGTGATGCTTTTTGAAATACTTTGTAAGGTTCACTATCCTCTATATATTAAATTTTCTGTGTATCCACTTGTTACTTTATTTAACTAATCTACTTTCTAGGACTACGAGCCTGTTGATCTCAGATTTCCTGGACCCTACTATGACAGAAATTTTCTGCCTCAAGTGGCAGTCCTGTGATCAGATCTAGTTTTAAGCACAAAGATAAAAGGATTGAGCACAGAGTTACACAGCACAATTCATATTAAAAGAGTACTGCAGACTAAGACAGTGCACAAAATACTACACTGAAAATATCTCAGGTGTCCCTTCACCAGATCTAGCTGTCCCAACTAAAGGTTTTAGTGCCTTCTTAATGGAGCTGAGCTGGTGAAAAGGCTTTTCTTAAAGCTGGTGAAGGTACTACCAGCAAACTCATTTGGTAAGTTGGGCTGGTGACTGCAGTGAAAGAGGCTAATCTTTGCCTGCAGGTGCTTGGGGAACACTTTCACAGAAGGATCAGCTGACTGACCCTGAAGGGCAACAGCTGGATTGGTGGTAGCACAGAACAGCTGGAACTGATAAGGTCTGAAGGCACCACAGCTGGATGCAGAAAATGACATTTCATGGCTTGCTTTTTCTAATTTTGATATGTAATGCCTCTTTTTGACTGTACTGTCACTTTCTTTTATTTCAGATGCCTTCAGTGTTTGACAAAGAACCTTTCCAGATATGCTGCAGATATTAAGTCATTGCCACCCAACATAAAGGATAAACTGATTAAATTAATGAGCAGGCAAGGGCAAATAACTGATTCAAATATCAGTCAGGTAAGAACCTATTCAAAACTATACTGTCTGTGATAGTTAATACACAAGGATGAGCTGGACTAAAAGTGTTTACATGAGATAAATTCAAAGCCTTCTTACTCTGTCCATGTCCTTACAGTTTTATTTCTTAAACTTCATGATATTAATAGTCTTGTATTAGTAGTAATAAGAGTATGTTTTGCTAAAAAGTAAATTAAAAATATTCTCCCTTCAGTGATAATTGACTTTTGTCTAATCAGCTAACATATGGTATCCCTTCTCAGTATGGGAAAGTAAGCTGTATTGCACACCAGTCTCTGTCCCTGAATGCAGTATGTTTCAAGAAGCTTGTGCATAATTTAGCAATGAAAGGACTTAGGAACTTGTAAGAATCCTATTAGGATCCCCACATAATTTATTTAAATTTTGATTCTTTGAAATATGATGATGCTAAGGCTAGAAATCGATAGTTCAAATTCTCTGGTCCTTTCTGCTTACTGATGTGTGCCAGTGTTTCAAAATGAAATCAGTCAAGGGCTTTCCTTCAGCTGTAAATTCAGGGGCACATCTGTTTCCTATCTGTCTACTATTATCTTACTCAGCCTTAAAGGGAGGTGTGAGAATTGAGGAAAGCTAAAGGTTGGCTTTGGTGAAGTAGAGAATGAATGACTCCTTGTTCATTCCTGCTTTGACCTGTAACTCAGAAGAGACAAGTATTATCAGTTTCTCAAGAATCAGGATAGTGAAGCCAAGACTAGAGGCAGAAGCAGAAGTACTGTGGAAAACCTACAAACAAAAAATTTTATCTTTAGCGTGTGCCTGTTTTTTTGATTACACAAAGTAAGACTGAGTGAAAATCAGTGCCTTATTAATTTATCTTATTTTGGAAAATTTGACTGGAGAAAATCTGGTTTAGGCTATCTTTTCAGTAAGTAATCCTTTCAAAGTGTCTTAAGAGATGCATATAGTTAAAACCATATGACTGTGTGTGTATAAATGCACAAAGCCTATTAGGATATTTTTAAGCTGGAAAGTTTAATTTACAAATTTTTCCTCTGTCTCTTTGTAAGACCTCATCTATCTTTGTCTTCATTCAGCAGTTGATCAGGGCCTTCTCTTAGAACCTATTTTCCATCTGACACTGGAATGCTCTGGTTCATTCTTCATGTGTTTTTCCTTCTCTCTATTCCTCCAATTTCCTGCAATTCGATCCCTAGCTGTCATCACTTTTCTTGGGCATGTTATTCCTTAGCTTTCTTTGCTTGTAGTTTCCAGGTTTATCTTACTTGCATTTTTATCAAAATGTTAGCCACTCCTGGATTCTGAGTTCCTGCTGCTGCTCTGTACCATTCTGCTCTTCAGTTTTCCCATTCTTTCATCTTGCAGATACTATTTCTGCTCAGCAGAGCAGAAATGATTTATGTTGCTTGGCCTTTCTTACTATTCCGTGCTCACATAATATATAACTGAAGTACATTTTACTTGTAACATATTTGCAGCATCTTGATTAGTTTTCCATGTGGATAAGGATTTTTTTTTTTTTTGCTACTTCTTCTGTCTTGCCCTTTTCTTTCATAGTCTCCACAGTATTGTGGCTAAATCTATTCTCCTGGAATTTTCCAGCCTATACTACATCATTTTAGACATGTCCTTCATGTCCTTTCTTTGGTTTTGGGGGGCTTTTTAAGCTTTTTGATTAAAGCTAAATTTCTTTTAGTTGAAATTCTGTTAACCTGCACTTTATGTAAAAACTTCTATTTAATCTCTTACCTCCCTATTCTTACTGAACTTTGTGTTATCAAGCATCTTTTCCCCCCTTACTCTGCTTTTTCCTTGTAACAGCCTTCCATGACATGCCAAACTCCTTATTCCAATTCACTTTTACCATAAAGTTCTATAAAGCCATTCAGGATGAGTCCACAGGATATAAAACTTATACTTTAATGTCCTGTATGCTGCATCCAAGCAATCCTTAATCTGTCTAAAATTCCATCTTCTTTGAAACAGATTTTAGTATATCTATTCAGTAAGTATGAATCTGTGAATGACAACAGAAAGGAAACCTCTAAGTGATACGTGGGAGTTTGATTCGTGGCCTAGGGAAGCTTGATACTCTGCCTTATGTAGGCAGTATTCCGATAGTATTGCTTCTTCTCATTTAGACTTCCTTTAGACTTCCTATCTAATAGTTCTTTTTCCTCATAAAAATTCTCATGTGGCTTCAAAATCAGCAGTTTGGTGGCTTTTGTGTGTCTTAGACAATTCAGAACCGTGAAAGAAAGCCAACAGTCACGGAAAGCATCTTGAACAAATGTTGAAGGTCACTTTGGCTTTAAGCTGTATTTGGCTGCTTTAGTTCCTAAGACATGGATTCAGAAATATGAGTGAAATAAGAAGTGTTAGCTTGTGAAAACTGCTCACAGATGTCTTGTGGAGTATGTTGGCAGTTTTATGCCATAAAGAGACACAGAAAGGCTTATAGCATCTGGGGAAGAAAAGCTGTCAAAGCTGTCTGAGGTCTGCCATTCATTTTGCTGGAAGGTTGCAGTTGGAATCTGCTAGAAGTTTTTGCTTATTTGACCTTATTTGTAAATATTTTAGCATCTTATATTTGTGAAACAGAAAACCAGTATTCCTTGTAATATCTTTATGGTACTGTGTTAGAGTGAACTTGAGGAAGGAATAGGCCTTTAACAAGCCTGTCAGCTATGCTGTTATCTTTGCTTGTATATGGAAATTTGTGCTTTTGTCCTTGGGAGTTGAAGAAGGAATTAACAAGCTGAAGGGAGTAGATGGCTATCACTACTAAAATCTGAGGCCTTCCTTTGCTTTGGGTCTACCTTTTCATAAATGTCCTCTTGGGGAAGATTTCACAAAAACTACTTCCTAAGGTCTTGTGGGAGTGAAAGAGCCTGTTTAATGAGGATTTGGTACCTCCTCATGGTATGATAATGAGATTGGTTGTTTATGAGCAAAAGAGTGTGTCTGTAGGTGAGAAAAATACTCTGGGATAGCTTTCAAATATCACTCTTATCTGTTCAGGAGATTTAAGTTCTGATGATAATTAGTGTTTTCTTGCACTGCAGATTTCTACCACCAAAGTTGTGCTAGTAAATATGAGGGTATTGTCCTTGGTAAACATATGTGTGCTGGTAGAAGCACTACTGGTAGCAATTGCACTATCAAGATGTTATTTCCACTGTTTAAATATTAGTATTAATGCTTTCCTACTTTGTATGTTTCAGAACCTGAACATTAGTGCTGTAGGACATGAACTGTTGCAGCAAATAGACCATATTTTCCCTAGAATTTTTAGTGCCTAAGACTGGTCACCCCATCCTCTAGTGAAAAGTTCTATGTGATGTCTTACATTACAAGTTTTTTAGATAAAAATGTGCATGTTTGATGGCATAGCAGAGTGTGACTGCAGTGGTAGGTTTTCATTACAGGTACTGCACCCTGCTGTTGAGTCTCTAGACCTCCGAGACTGTGATATTTCAGATAATGCATTGCTGCAGCTTTATAATTGTAAGCAGCTGAAAAAAATCAACTTGAATTCTTGCAAGGAAAACAGATTTGGAATCACTTCAGAAGGTATGTTATCTGTGCACAGATAACTGGGATCTTACTTCTGCTTTGTTTTTCTTGTTAGATTGGAGTGAATTGCAAAAAATATCCAGGGTAAATAATACTTAAGAAAATCCCCAATGCCATAGCAGTGCTAATTAAAAGTCTCTTCTTCAGTGTAAATTACAGGCCTAGAGCACTGATTAACTTATGAGAGAGCTATCAGGTTACTCTCATGCTAAGTTTCTGGTATAACTATGCCATGTGGATCATATTTTCCGCTTTATCCTAATTATTCCATCCTGAAAACTTGTCCCAGAGCCTTTGGACTCAGCATGGTGGTCATGTTTAAAAAAGGAGTATGTCTTCCCATTGTTCTGTTTCTTTGGCAGGTGTCATAGCACTGGCCTTATCCTGCCCTTACCTGTGTGAAGCCTCTTTTAAAAGGTGCTGTGATATAACTGACAGTGGAATTCTTGCTCTTGCACTCAACTGCCAGTTCCTACAAATAGTGAACTTGGGCAGCTGTTCAGGCATCATGGATGCATCTCTGCAGGCACTAGGAGAAAACTGCAAGTTTCTTCACAGCGTGGACTTTTCATCTACTCAGGTAACTATGGTGGCAACGGGCCGATTGACTGTCGTTTGTTTATTTTTTAGGATTGTCATGATAAAATTGAAAGGAGATCTTTTTAGCTCTATTCCTCACAAGATTTAGGACCACAGTTTCCTTCCTCTCAAGGGAAAGGAAAGGTATATTTTGCATCTTGGTAACCAGAAAAATATACATTTTGGTATTACAGTATATATTGTGAACCAAAGATAAACTTTTGTGAGAATCTACTTCATTTTGTAGGTTGGTGTTTTTTGTTTTGTTTTGGTTTGGTTTTTTCCCCAGTATCTTTATTTAATGCATTCATTTCCTTCAAGTTGTAAAGTAATCCAAAATGTTTAATTTAAAGAAAGTGGAATCTTGGACAGATTATTGTCTGCTTTCAGTTAGGACAAACTGACATTAATAATAATAATAATAATAATAATAATAATAATAATAATATAGGATGTCAAACAATATAAGCCCCTAGTAAAAGTAAACACTCCATAATTAGTTCTAGTTCAAGAGTGGCTGTGCTTTCTGAATAGACTGTCAGAGTTATGTTATGGAGTCAACACTGAAAGAATGACATTTGAAATGTCAGAAATGGCAGGGAAGAGAATTTTAAAACAGTATTTAGCATGAGAAGAGGGAAGTCAGCTTCAAAAGCAATATTGTAACATACAGTGAGATAACGAGCCAGGGAAAGGATTTTTTGCAGGAAGTGCAGGTTTAGTTGAGGATGTTGCATGTGAGTCCAGTACTGAACATTTGTAACAAAGTGTCAGATCTGGAAAACACATATCAGGTTCTTATTTTAGATGATCATCTTCTTTCAATTTTTCTAGAAGTAGGGTATCAAAGGAATTTTAACATTTCATTTGGTAGTTTTTATCATTGTCATTTAACTCTTACTTCTTCAAAGTTACTTTGTCACTTTTTCATTCCTTTACCTCTCTCTCCTTTATAGGAAATAGCTAAGTTTCCCTGTATATGTTTGAAATGAGATGAAAGCTTCTTGAGTAACTAATTGTTTCCACATTTTTTTCTACCTTTCTGCAATGATTACCGTTTCTTTTTTCCAACCCAAAAAACTTCCTTCAATTCCTTCAAGAACATCTGCAGTCCTGAAAACAAGAGAAAAATTGGTCCAGGTAGAGCAGAAATGCTTTAAACCTTATAAATGAAAAGTGCTGTGACCATAATGGTGTACCCACTGCTGAATGAGACAGGGAAGCTGCAGAAGTAGCGCTTACACAGTTGGAAACATCCCTGTAGAAATATTCCAGGCAGGATCACATGGCAGGAAAATGAAACAGTGTTTAAGAGAATGCAAAAAAAACCCTTGGATAATTTTCTCTACAAGCTTAATTGGGAAGAAAATACTGTAATGTTAAGTGTATTCATTGATTGCAGGGAGGCAATAAAGTAATATAATTTTCCCACTCAAATAGATGTGTTGGAAAAAAGAGTTTTAATACATTATGCTTTTTTCCAGGTAACAGATGATGGCGTTGTAGCACTAGTGAGTGGAACATGTTCAAAGAATTTAAAGGTAACTTATTTAACCTAATAACAAATGGATGAGCAAAAACAAATACCTCCACTTAAAAATTATTGTTATCAGCATTTCTTCTGAGGGATGGTTTTTTACTGGCAGATTTTTTTTGCCTTTGTTTATTAAACACTTGCCCTGATCTTGATTGTGAATTGAATATTTTCTGTATCTCTGCAGCAGTCCCCCAGACCAGTGTTTTTTGATAACCTCAGTCTTTTCAAAATGTTTCCTTCTGTTGACTCTTATTTTAACTGACACTGTTTGAGAGATCTATATAATAAATGCAAATGAATGCTTGACTTTTACTCTTGATTTCTTTGGAGTTATTTCTTGATTCTGTTGAACACAGAGGCAGAATTTGTAATGTGGAAAATTTCATGAGTTGAAGAAATCAATTAGCACCTCTGCATGGGTAAATGTAACTTTTACACAGTCTCTGCAGTTTTAATAAGGCGAAAATTAACGGTTTTGTGTAGGATGACAATTTTAAAAAAAAGAAAGTTGTGTTCTCTCAGCATAAACTTCTAAAACAGTTGCTGTTTTACTAGCAGTAGAAAAACCACAAATCTAGTAGAGAATACAAAATTTTTTGCTGCAGTCTCTTCTTCTGTTTTAACTGTTTTCCATGTGTGTGTCACAATCTTCATAACTTCTGTTTCATATCATCAAAGTGCAGATATATAGTCAGTGGTGTAGGGTCAGGTACACAGTAAAAAAAAGAAGAGCCTTAAAATTCTCAAACTGTAACAAGCAGGTAGATTTATAAATACTTTTACTTCATTAAGAGGCAAATTCCACATTTCACTTAATGAAACAAACTGAAAATTATACATGTATCGGCTCTTGTGTATATTGCTTCTCTGAGTACAGACCTTGTTTTATGTGTCATCATTCTGTACAAAGTTGCATTTATTACAAAAGATCTCTTTCATTTCTCTGCTCTTTAAAGATCCTTAGAGTTTCTTATCAGAAAGCCTTTTTCCAATTTATTTTTATTTTTATTTTTTACCACTGAATTCCCAAAGTATGTTTTACCAAGATTTTCACTAGATTTTATAGTTTCTTTTCTGCATTTCTTCTTGTATGTTATACTTAGTGATACATAAGGCTATTTAGAGGAGGAAAAAAAATTGTTAATAATCTGTAAATTTATTGTGATTTTCTTTTTCTAGCACAAAGAAGAGGTAGTAGTTATACAACTCCAGAGAACGGTTTTAGTCTAGTCTTGAAGAAGCTTTTATACTTCTTTTAGGAACCATGTAGATAGATATTAGAAACTTCAGCAGAGAGTCATGAGTCCTGCCTGTTTTAGACAACACCACAATTCAGTTGTGGTCCTGGACAACAAACTGCTATGAGAGTGTGTGTCATAGGAACACCATGGAATGTCATTGAAGAGTTTTCTCAGTTGCCTTGAATGATATGTGCACATTGGGAAAACTCGTGTTTAAGTTTTCAGTTTTGACTCTTCATAGAAAAGCTGTTTTATTTTTCCTGAGGGTGTTTTCCTGGCCTGTACAGGACCACATACGGGGGGGGAATCAGTGCACAGAGGAGTGTGGGTGGGGATCTCTGAAACTGGTTGGGCAAAGGAAAGCTCTGCCTCTAAAGCTGTGGGTGCTCTGACAGGCTTTTGTCTCTGCTATTTTCATACCAGGAGATCCATATGGAGCGCTGTGTGAACCTGACTGACGTCGCCGTGGAAGCCGTCCTTAATTGTTGTCCCAAGATACACATTTTTCTGTTCCATGGATGCCCATTGATAACAGGTAGGTCAAATCATGCAGGGAGTGAGAAGAATAATTTCTTGCTGATAGCACCTTCTTGCTCTATGGAAGAGCACACAATACTTTGTAAATAATCCCAAACAAATAGTAACTTAATAGATAAAATAATCATATGCTGAGATTTTTCAAAGCATGGTGAGAATTTTGCTTTGAAATATGGCAACCTTCAGAGAGGGATTTTTTTTGTTGTTTTGAAAACTGGATTTTTGTGTGTGTGTGTGTGTCCCTTTTGTCCACCTTCAGCATCCTGATGAAGACCCAAAGACTGAAGAAAAATGTTAGCATCTTAAATCTATTCCAAAAGCATGGAACAGCATCAATTCAAGAAACAGAGGAATGGAGCAGGATAGCCCATGGGCTTTTTAAGGCCTGTTGGTTGGTGATGCTTTACAGTTAGGTGATTGGAGAAAGAACCAGGTGCTTTTGGATTACTACAGGTGTATCTGAAGTGTGATATTGTAAGAGCAAAATAAGCATGAATGCTGGTGTATAATTGCATTACTTTGCTGTGTTGTGTGGCTAATCTCTGAACACCACCTGTGTATGTTCTGAATCAATAACAAGAAATTCCTTTGTTCTTTTGCAGATCGTTCCCGAGATGTTTTAGAGGAGCTCATTATATCAAACAAAATCAAGCAAGTCACATGGACTGTTTACTGATCATTTGTCCCATACAAATGAGTGTCAGGTTTACAGATGGGAGAGCCCTTTCAGCAAGCAAGCACCTTGGAGAGCCAGTAGGGGACTTTTGTACCACCAGATTGTGAACCTCCTGGTTCCCACTGGAGGTCTCTGTTGCTATTCCAGTCCTTGCCTGTGAGTCTGGGCTTCCCCATTGTCTCTGCTTGGAGCCCTGTCTGTCTTTGCGTCGCTGATGATACTTCGTTAAGAGGAAAGTTAAACTATAATTAACACCACACTGAGCCATAGCTCAGCCCCCTCGAAGTGTCAGACTTGGCTGCTCCTTGGCATCCTTTAGCAACTTAGCTACATGTACAGACACACTTTAAGTAACTGAGTTTGTAGGCTGGCAAGGTACTTTCAACTAAAAGTACCAAACGAAAACATAGCACTGACACTCACACAGAAGTGTCTGTAAAGTTGGGAGTTAAATCTGACAAAAGTCAACAGACAGAACAGGTGAATGGAGGTGGCATTGAGAGCAATACAAATATATTTTTAGTAGTACAAACAATCTCCTTTCACCACGTACTTCTCCTAGATCTGGAATGAAAAATGTAGGTACCTTTCTTCAGATGTTACTGATGCTGCTGATTTCTGTTTGTACTTACCATCAAATACTTGCTGGATTTTTACATATCCAAAGCTACAGTCTGTGAATGTGTAAACATAAACTTGCTTTGGAATTGTTATGGTGACTTTACAAATTTCAGAGTAGTAGCTATGACCAGTAAAAGAGTTTTGTATATGGGCAAATATTTAATTTGCTCTGGCTTTTGCCTATGTTTCTACATGGAAGTCCTTTTAGGGAACAAAACATTAAGCACTCATAAGCATAGCTGTGAGTGAAATAGGACCAAATTTTGTGGCTGAGTATATAAATCTCAGGATGGTGGAGTTCAGTAGAGTACATGTTCTGCTGTTTATTATATTAAGTTATTATAATAATGCGGTTTATTATATATCCAGGGGCCCTCAGAAGCTGAAAATAACAATAAATGTGTTGTTTAATTATAGTCATATTAGAGAAAAAATTTTTGAATTGTAGAATGAATTTATTACATGATGGAGCAGTAGTCTCATCACAGTTATAAGTCATGTTCATTGGCTTTCTTGAACCAGCATAATCTCTTGTGAGAATTCTATGATTTCTGCATTAAGCTTCCTAAAATGCTAGCAATTTTAGCATTGTACAGGGCATGGAGCACACTAGGTTGATACTCTGTATGTGGAAGTAGAAGGGTTTAGCTAGGGTGGTCTTACATGGATCTGAGGACATTTGGAAATGCATGAGTTTAGGCAACTATAATGAACATGTTTACAATTTAACACCTGTCATAGCCACACTTATTTTAAGTGTTGCAGAAATAATCCAGTCTTCTACTAATCTATTCAAAGTTCAAGTCAAATTGCATGGAAGATACATGTTGCAGCCAATATTAAAGGATATTATGATGTCTGACAGCGGTCTCGTTCTTGTATTGATTATATGGTTCATGAAAGAGCAAATCTATTTAGAAAAGTTGTTCAAGTGTAACTAAAAGCATAATTTTCCACCTCCAGTGCCTAAATCCCTTACTCTTGTTGCATGGAGTACCAAGGCTCAGCCCAGTGATAAGTGTGTTTCTGTGATCCCTGTAGGTACAGCTGCACCAGCACAAACCATTCTTGCAAGCAGGAGTTGATTTTGCTACATCAGCCACAAGCATCTGAAAGCTGTAACTGCAGCAGATCCTTGCACTGGATAGATTAATAACCTCATCTACCAAGGTTTTTGTTTTTGTTTTTTTTTTTGGCTAAGTTTATTTTTAATACCCTGTGGAGGCCCTAGTATCAATCAGGGCCCATCATTCCTTTGAACTCTTGGACCTGAGTTGGCAATAAATTTTTTTTGCACTATTTTTAATATTGATCCATCTAGCTGATCAGGCAGCAGCAATGACAGGCTCAGTAATTGTGTCAAATTGTGGATAAAGCATTCCTGATTTCAGGAAGGTTGCCACAAAAAGACTAAGTAGAATTGAAAGTTAACTGAAGAAGGCAGGAGCCTTGAGGGGATTCAAGTATAACTTCCAGCCCAAAGTAGGGCCAGCTCAAAGCTCAGACCAGCTTAGCCCACGCTTTATCCAGATAAGTCTTGAAAAACTGAACATACAGAGCCTTCCCAACTTTTTGAGGCAACTTGTTCCACTGCTTGACTGTATTAATGCTGGAAATTTTTTTCCTTCTATCCTGGTTGACCCTGTTTTGTGTCAACAGCCTTACTCTTGCTGGTAGAGCCTGGCTGTCATCCTGATGACCTCCTCATCCGCGTGGTCAGTCAGGCTGCTCAGCAGTTCCTTGAAGCCCTGTCTTTTCCAAGCTGAACAAGCCCAGTTCTCTCCCTCTGTTGCTATCATGTAACAATACATGTTACATTACAAGGGTGGTGGTCACCAGACTCCCAAGTGCTACATCCAGAAAGAAAGTTACAAATGAAGATTATGTAAAGCAGCTAGAGGTGGAAGACCACCAAAATCTGTAATAGCAAAGGACACTTAAAAAAATTGTCTGTGGGACAATACTAACCTCACTGGCAAAGTTGTCCTTTTCCTCCTTGCTAATGTAACCTTGGATTTGTCATGTTGAAGGCAAATGCAGCCTATAGTATCTCCTTAAATGTGCATGTAGATTTGCCATCTTCCCTACGGCCTCTTCCAAATGTGTAACTTAGTGGTGTATCCTCACCTTGTGCTTAAAAAATCTGTACAAAGGGCAGTGAGTTAACACTACATTTTTAGGTTTGAAAGTTTAATGTAAATCCCTTTAAATCCTTCTCCATTAGAGCTTGACTCTGCTTTCACATGTTTATACTTGCATAACTCTACTGGAATATTTTTTGATTCAGGTTAAATCGCAGTAAGCACTGGGTGAAGTGGGAGAAAAACATCATGTATGTGCTTACCACTTCATATTTCTGTACTGTTTGGATATTGTTACTGTTGTAAACTGTTGGGTGAGCACTGCAGAATATTGTTCAGAAGATTCAAGTTTTGAAGATATCTGTTTGGATAGTTCTGGAAACTTGTTAAATTACGTAACCGTGTACTCTGACAGTGCTCCTAAGCCTCCTGCTTCATAAATACTGTGGTTTTCTGAGTGAGCACCACTGCTCTGAAAACAGTGGTGGTTTCTTCAAATGGCTGCAGTTACAGCCTCTTAACTGTGGATCAGTATTTTTTTTGACCCTGAAGACAGTTCTTTCTTGACAGATATAACTGAGAATAACTCTGAAGCTTTTTGTCCGCATCTCCTCAACAGAAGAGCAAAGTAATTATATCAGACTTTTATCCCCTGTTTTTATTTAGTTACCTTCTGCTTGTCACACAAGAAAAGATTTCTTCATCCGTCAGCAGCTTCCCAAGGTGACAGATTGCCTGGTTTACCCTTGCAAAGTTCAGGTATGTAGGTAATTTGACCTTACTCTCTAGATGATTGAGTCACCCCATAGCTAATACTATTTAGGCACTTTCCACTTACTAAAAACTACACTGGCTACCAGTCAAGAAGCTGTTTTAGATTTGTGTGCAACTCCCACATAATCACTCTGGCAGTTTCAAGGAAGCTTTTATTATAGAGGGAAAAAGGGAAATTCAAATTAGTTACTCTGACATTCAGAAGAGATATCCAGAAAAGGAGCAAGGCACTTCAAGTTGAGCGTATTAAGAGCTAATAATCTCTTATGAACTAGAATTTTATGAAGGACACTGACAATTTTCTCTGTAAATAAGCTGCAGAAGTCTGTGAAAGCAGTGCAGTAGTCTGTCAGCCATGGCCCTCTTCCCACAGCAGTGTACTGGACATCCAAAACATTTCACAGTACTGTTAAGAGAGCAAGACACAAATATACATGCAAAACACCAAGCATGCAAACTCTTATGTGTGATTTGCCTGTGGGTCTGCACTTCAGTGCAGTCCCCTCTGAATACAGTTTGTATGTAGCTTTTACCTCAAATGGAGCAAAAGCCTCAGTGAGTATGACTGAAATCAGTTCAGTGAAGGTACAGGAATCTGCTTTACATCAGCAGATAATGTATTGTGTTTAATTCCCGTTTTCTTTTTTACCTCCTTGCTAAAAAGCCAACCAAGCAAGACAAAATTCCTTAGAAAGCCAACTTCAGCAGTCTTCTGAGCCATTTGAGGGCTGATAACTCCAGACGATACTCGATGTTAATCCATAGTTTTCTTGTCTAGTATACTCAGGAAGTGAATATTCTATAACTTTGTGCAACTGACTGTGAATGCTGTGGCTTAAAAACTGATGCCTGCCAGGGTCACCAATCAGCACTTCAGTTTGCTGTATCCTGATGCACTTCCTCAGCCAATGATGCAGACCATCAGCAAGTTGTTCATCATAAAACATATCTCCTAAAACAATGAGGTCCCAGTTGCCAGCCTCTGAATTAATGATGTTCTTAATGGTGATGGGGAAGGGATTCAGGTGGTTCAGTTCACAGTTCAAGATCATTGCCACTCCTGCAACTGAAGAAAAGTCAAAGCAAAATGAAAATGACATTTAAAGATTCTGCCACTCAGCCCCCTTACAAATTTCCTTGACAGGTTTCAATTTCATCTTTAAATATTTTTGTTTGTCCTATCTAGAGACTTCCACAGTTTTCATGATGGGTTAAAATCTGGCATAGAGTGATGAAATTTTATTCCCATTAGACTATTACACAGGGAAGAACTATTTCTGGAATGGATGCCAGTGGAAAACAATCATGGAATTGAACTAGGATATCTAACTGCCTTAATCTATAGATATACTTCTTCCCTAAACAACTATTAATTAAATTATGAATAAACTGAATTCATAAATCAATTACAGAAAAGTCTGGAGGGAAAAGGCAAAATCTAGGTCCTAACATCAAAGTACAGGAAAATGCTACGGTCCTGCAGAGAATCCAACTTGCTATTTGCACTTGGAATTCTCTTCCAAAGCAGCCATGATGGTGTATAGGCAATACTTGACAGAAACTTTGCTGTTTGTTCATTCTAAGGTATTATGGAGATACACTTGGTCCAAGAGAGGCTGGTATCACCCAGCTTCTAATACTGGCAAAATCCATTCCTCTTTTTATCATTCTTAGAACTCTGTTTGGAATTTGAGTTTCTCCCAGATGGAGCAAAGAAAAGTCTGTGTTAAAGGTGGTTTAAAAATTAATAAGTATCTTTGCACAGAGATGAAAAAGCCCTTACTGGGGTCGATGTCATTAGCGAGGACTTGGGATGCCCCACTCATCACAGCAGCTATTGCTGTTGCTCCACATCCACTTCCAAGATCCAAAACTGATCTCCCCTTAACGACACGGGGATTATCTAAAATATACCTGAAAAAGAAAAACTGTTAAAGCAGTGAACAAGATGATGCAAATGTCTCAAATTTGTGTTCCACTAAGAGTTCTTATACATGTAATGAAGTGTGATACCTTAACAGCACTGTCCCACCTGCGCAGCTGGTACACAGCTCCTTATTCATCTCTGCTGCTGTGAAAATCAAGAAAATCTTTCTTCCTTACTTGTTCCCGGCACCCCCAAAACAAAAAGAAATCCAGCCAAGAAAGCAATATTTTATTTCAATCAGCTCCTTCTCTGACAGGTGAGCTTCTCTGTTAAATAGACACAAACTGCAAGGTGACTACAATGAATCAGAATATATCAGAAATAGGAAAGTAAGGATTTGTAGAAATTAAAAGCAGTCTGCCTGAAGAAACCCATTGCCCTGAAGTGCTGCTTATGCAACTGCTTGGAAGAAGAGGAATTTCTCCTCTTTCTTTTCCTGAGCTGTGCAGACACAGATGCAAATACTTCAAGACTGCTTAATGTTGTTCCTGAGTAGCACCAAGAAAAAGAATAGAGCTGTGGTGAGCAGAAGGAGTATCTTCATCTGATCACTGATGCATGCCAAGAGGAATCATGTGAAACCTCTAGGCTGGAAGTGGGGAATTGACAGAAGGCGAGCAGCAGTTATTGTTAAACACTGTGAATCATATTACAGATGATTCAGAACTTTAACAACTGCCTTGAAATTCAATTGGCTGCAAAGCCAAAGGCCCTCAGTGTCAGGGAGAAGAGCCCTGGGTGAAATGAATTACTGCAAAGCCACCATAAATTTACTACCAATTTCCATAACTTCTGATAAAGTAGAAACTGGAAAGGATTCTACATTTGTGTTATATTCTGGCAGGGAGAGTGATGAGTGACTCTTCACACAGGGCTATTGCTAAGCACAGCTTTTGCAGGGGTATTCCAATGCAGAGAACTGTAATGGAAATGTTAAGACCGGTGTAAATAGGGAATGGATGAATGGAAATGTCTGGGCCTGGTAGCACCAGCAGGAATGGCACAAAGAGGCCTAGTAAGAGTGTCAAGTGCAAGACACTTGTGTAGAAGCTCAGCTGTTTGGCAATATTCCACTAAGGACA